GAAGCATTCATCACTTGTTATCTATATGCAAATGAGTTGAACGCTTTCTACATATCTGTAATTTCCATGTCGAAAATTCAATCAATGGTCAATTGACAGTTATTCGGACGATTTTGTCCGTACGAAACGAAGGAGTTCTAATAAACGATTAACGATGCGCCATTTTTTTTAATTAGAAGTTGTTTTCTGGTAATATTATTTTTTAAATATCATTTTTGTTTTCAGATTCATCTGAATACACAACAAAAGACGAAGAACAAACAGTGAGTAAATTTAAAGAAGTTTATATATTAATTTTTACAATTAAAAGGATGCATTTTGTATCTAAATTTAGTTATAAACTTTGCCTGTGCCAATTACTGTTCTTCACGAAGTGAGTATAGAAACATTTTTTTAGAAACACGGCAAGTTATGGTTCAAAATTGAAAACAAAAGTGTTTGTAGAGAAAACAAAGGGCCCACTGAAAAAGAGGATGGCATCTCTAATAGCTGAGTTTTAAGAATATCCTGTCCCTTTCGACTGGTTGCCCCTGCCTCGTGCTTTTTATTTTAATCGAGTAAAAAGAAAAAAAACCAACAATGATATAATGTGGAAATTAAAAAACTTTGAAAGGCCTCGGTCTGCATTAAAATAACGATGATGCATTGATTTTGATACTCTATTAGCCATTTTTTCTAAATCTTATGCAGTAAACTTGGTTTAAAAAATTCTACATGAGAAGAATACATTGATTGTGGCTTTCAATGGAACACATAGATATATTTAATACTCATCGTCTCCGATCTAAACAAGGAGGTTTGCAATGGAAGTATTTATTATTAAGCCATTGCTTTATTAAAACCCAAGTGTTGAATTTTTTCCCTTGATTTTTCATGTTTATGAAAGAAAAAGGTACCAATTTCAATACAAATGAAGCCATGTATTTTTCAAAAATATGAAAGTGATTAAGAAATTAAAATTCATTCTTTCTGAATTATAAGAATTCCCTGCAGTGAGAACACACAAACCGTTTTTCTCAAATGACCTCCTAAATGCTAATTGTGATGTTAACAACTAGTGCATTTTCCCGTTTTTTATTAAAAAGTTGCAGAAAACATCAATTCTCATGAAATTTTCTTTCAGAAAACATACTCTGCCATTGTCGCCCACAACGATTTTGAGATATTTGATTTTTCAAAGCAGTTTACATAATATATCAAAAAATTGAAGCCGACGAGGGTGGCAGAGTATGTTTTCTGAAAGAATTAAGTCATTCTGAAGCTTTTCTGCATAAAACTTAGAAATGTAACAAAATAGTGACGACATATTTCCAGAATGGTCCTCCCTTATGCCATATTCTTTAGTGATTTAACATATTAACCTACTTAAGTATCATTTGTTAAAGCCAATTCCATAACTTTTTAAGAACCTTAAACTTTTAAGGCACAATAAAGTCGAAACTTTACCTTCTTCCTATAGTGTTTTACATCATTTTTTTTTGTAAATCTAGGGTCTATGATTATTGATATTTTGGATTAAGAGACGCAATAAACACTCCTATTAAAGCCATACTTAAATTTGATTGCAATATTGATGCTGCAATGCTACGTTTTAACAAAAATGAACGCAACCGGGCTAACAATAATTATAACAGTGGCTACTCCACAGGACGTTTCCTCTGCATTTGGTTTACATCAATAAGCTTTGTAGCAAATAAAAATACATTTCCATCAAATAAGGAACACGCTTGATAAACCAAAACTGACCGTCGGCTGGTTACCACACCCAGACGGGACCGTCAGACCCTCTACAGCACCTGTGCAATCGATTTAGAACTGCTGTACAGTCTACAAACTGCTGATACAATAATTGTATAAAGAAATCAACAAAAAATACACATATAGTTTTGGCAAGTTAGAGTCTGAGAGGAGCTGGTATCCGTCCTGGATGCCCATACATTTGAAATCCACTATAGCGCTGAGCAATGCAAAGGACGTATGGATTGGTTAAGACGCTATACCCTTGGAATTTAGAGGCGACGACAATAACATCAACTGAACTTTTCAATTTACAATTTAGGACGTTTTCTTTTTATCAGGACACATTCTAAAATAACTTTTAAAATATAAGATTTAAAGTAAAAAACTTAGATTATGATTAATCTGAATATTCATTTTATTTTTGTCTAGTATCCATGTACTTCCTCCCCACCTTTCGAGCGAGAGGTACAAATAATGAATTGCCGTTTTCATAATGACAAGTTGATAAATCGTGCGAACAATAAAAATGTTTGAACGAAAACTTACCTCTTAGTAGCGAAAACATAAAAAGTCATTTATATTGAGACATTACTAAAATAAAGTTAACTAGAGCCGAGCTCGTTGCAAAGCAACGAATAGGTCTTCCGTTGGAGCTACGGATAAGAAGACGTAACCTTGAGTCTAGGTCAAGCCACATTCTAAAGTTCTACAAGTGAAAATTTAAACCTTTTAAGAGAAGCAACTTGCAATGTTTAGCTAGGAAAAAGACTGTAAAGGAATATATGTGACCTTGAACTTTCCAAGTGACCTTGAACTCTCCAAATGACCTTGATCTAAGCAATGACTAGCTCTCGTTATAAAAATATTATCCATGTGTTACCGTCTGGAAAATTTCAAACATTTTATTTAGATATTCTTTCTGTCCATGCATCCAACCAAAAACATCTTATCCTTGGGGACTTTGAACTCGAGTCAAGGTCACGTCCCACCCTGCATTATATCAGCAATGTTTCACTAGCAGAAAAATGGTAGCGAATTTACAGTTTCACTGTCACTAATCTTGACTCGTCCAAATGACTGGATATGTTCAGCCATGAGTTTTTTTCTGACTATAATCGAGGCAAAATGATTCATTGGGTTCAACACAATGTCGAGACTATAGCTCTACTTGTTTGTACTTATAACAAAGGAAGAGAAAACTAGCCATTGCCATCAGACCAAAACTGTAGAAGGAGTAGCGTTTTAAAGGAATTTCACATAAATTTCTATTTTTTGTAATCATGACAACACCGTTCATCGAAATCAAAAACGATGCACTTAATTATGTATCACATTGAAGTCTACTTGTGTGTCCAGTTATATTGAAATCAAACTAAAACTGTAGGAGGAGTAGCATTTTTAAGGAATTATATACAGAAATTTCTATTTTTAGTAACCATGGCAACACCGTTCATCGAAATCAAAAACGGATGCACGATATTTTGTATCTTAGTGAAGGCTACTTGTGTGCCAAGCAATATTGAATTCAGACAAAAACTGTTGAAGACGTCGCATCTTAAAGCATTCAAAAACCGATGCACTATACTATGTATCTTAGAGATGTGTACTTGTGTGCCAAGTTATATTGAAATCAGACCAAAACGGAAGGAAGAGTAGTATTTTGAAAAATTGTTTATAGACAGACAGACAGCTAGACAGACGAACGGACGGCAGACACTTTACTATCGCATCCCACAGACAGGTGGGACAGATTTTTATATATCGAAAATAACCAAATTATAATAAATAAAGACATCATTTTTAAAGCATTAAATCGTAGCAAAAAAGAAAATATCAATGGATGCGACACTTTTCAGACGAGGGAAGAGATATGAACCTCTCATAAATACGGTACACATGTATCAGATCATTGCACGTCGGCAATCTAAAATGACACATATTATTTTTTTTCTTTGTATAACTTAACCCCCCCCCCCCCCCCTAATTTCTTAAAAAATGTTTGTACAATCAAGAAAATCGGTTACTTTTCATAAAGACTACGACGTTTCTTTCATTTTCAAGAACCGTATAATAGCGAGTGCAGCGAGCTCAATAGAATAACGTGTAAGAAAAGAAGTTCGGAATTGTAAACACGTCAAGCAAATTTTGTTGTGCAACATTCCCAGAGCTCCTTTACTACCCAATGTCCTTTGCGCGAATAAATAAACAAATAATAACACAAGTAACAGCTTTTTAAAAAGCTTGGCTGACTATGTCATCAATATCTTTAGAATCTATGAGCATGATAAACTATAAACGTTTACATTTGGGGGGGGGGGGGGGGGGTTAAATTATTTCACTGGAGTAAATTATGGAGATGTTGCACAAAACATAAACCATATATAATACTGTTTGTATCTCAAATAAAAAATGAAATCATGATCATGTCCCGCTGTAGATTCGAACCCGGGACGAAAATATGAACACCTCTGTCCGCAAGTCTAAAATGGTTTTAGAGAATGACGTAAATAAGGAAAAACATTTGATTAATGCTTGAAAGCATGGCTACATATAAAGGTGGCATATACTGGAACAGTTAATATTGAGAATGCTTCATCTCCGTTTTCATCTGCTTTAATCAGTATTGGTGCAGTAAAACACTGTAAATTACACAAAAAGTTATTAGAAATTACATACAAAATGACTGACATAAAATGTAGACTATATAATGTAACATTTATGACCGTACCGAGTTTCCATACTTTTTTACTTTTAACAGCAAACTACTACTAAACAATAAACACAAGAAAGTAGTAATAACTCGGCAAGAAATCAACAAATTATCCTTATAAATTTACATACTCAAGTATAACATACAGTGACTAGATAGTATAAATCTCAGAAAATGATTTGGACATAAACCACGTGCTTAGCCTTACATAAAAAAAAACAGGTCATGTTAACACTGCAAAAATAATACTTAAAATAGCTGAAACATTAGACATTACAAGGTTTGCATTTTAACACATGAATTATAAGATCTTAAAATTATATCTAATGAAAGCGTACTTACGCTATAGGGCTACAAAGTCAAAAAATGTAGAAACAAATTTCGCACATGTATAAATATGGCGCTTGCCAAACAACGGGGAATAACTCTTGAAATAAACAAAACAAAAAGTTAACTCGTGCAAAGTTGATTCGGAGACATTACACTCCCCGCCTAATATCTGAAAGATATTACAATTTACAGACATTCTCATACAATTTACAGACATTTATCAGTCAATCAAGATAACGAGTTCTGTAATAGGACGGATATATGTCGTTGGTTTACCATCTCTGATGACGCGTACCTCAACTGTTCTTACTTTGTGGTCACTCTCACTCTCAAATGTGTTCACAATTAGTCCCAGGGGCCAGTGTCCACGGTGTGCTTCTTTATCACGCAAAAGGACGACATCCCCGACTTTCACATCTGGACGTTCATGCTGCCATTTACGTCGCACTTGGAGTTGCTGTAGGTAACCATTCCGCCAATGTTTCCAGAAAATATCCGACAGACACTGTACATGTTTCCACTGCTTCCTGTATATATCCTTGATATCAGTTGAGCTAACAGGATGAACGTCAGGAAATTCCTTCTGCGTAAGCAACATCGAAGGGCTGATAATATGCGGACTTTCTGGGTCAGATGATACTGGACAAATGGGTCTTGAATTTACTATGGCACAAACTTCGCACATAAAGGTGCACAAGACTTCATGCGTGAGCTGTTTTGTGTTTGCGTTGAGTAACATTGAGTCCAGTATTTTTCTTGACACACCAATCATCCTTTCCCAGGTTCCACCTCGGTGTGATGCATGTGGGGGGTTGAAAGTCCAAATTATCCTATTCTCAAGAAGGTAATTGTGAATAGGTCCCTTTTCTGTGTAGACAGCTTCAGCCTTTATGTCATCAAGGGCTCCTAGAAAGTTGGTTCCCCTGTCAGAACGGATTTCCTTCAAAGGTCCACGAATTGAGATGAATCGTCGTAAGGCATTAATAAACGATGAGCTGCTCATCTCTTCAATAACCTCTATGTGTATTGCTCTTGTTTTCATGCATGTGAATATTACAGCCCATCTCTTGCTTTGGGAAAGGCCACCTCTAGTTCGTCGGGCCACTACAGGCCAAGGTCCAAATACGTCGACCCCGACTGAACTGAATGGAGGTCCAGGCGTAACTCGGTCTGGTGGTAAGTCAGCCATCTGTTGGAATTCTAACTTCCCTCTGAGTTTCCTGCACACTACACATTTGTGCAGGATGGAATTAACAAGGCGCTTACATCCAATGATCCAAAAGCCCTTGGATCTTACTGTACCTTCCGTTATGAGTCTACCCTGATGATAAACTTTCTCATGCAGATGAGTAACGAGAAGTGTGGCGATGTGCGATTTCCCTGGAAGAATGATGGGATTTCTTTCATCTATAGAGAAAGGTGCCTTATTCAGACGTCCACCGACACGTAAAATTCCATCATCATCTACGAAAGGATGAAGAGCAATGATGTTGCTTTTCAAGGAAAGTGGTTTCTTCTCCTGTAAACGCTTCATGTCATCTCCATACCAGAATTTCTGTACTTCCCGGATAATGAAACGTTCTGCTTCTTGAGTGTCTTCAATACTGCGCACTGAAAACTTGACCTTGCCTCTGCAAAATCTCTTTAGGTATGAGATCGCATTCACTAATCTCGTCCATGAGGAGAACTTTTCAAATCGACTCACTAAATGTTCCTTCACCTCTGTTTTCTTGACACAAACTATGGGCCGTATTTCTGCATCCGTGTCTGGGTTGACTAAGGGGAAGCTTTCATCCTCTACCTTCTCTACAGACCTCAATTGTATTGGTCCTCTGAGCCAATCGCTTTGAGACAAGTGCTCGACAGATGTATGACACCGAGTTCCAATGTCAGCTGGATTGTCCTGTGTGGAAACAAAGGACCACTGCTCTGGTTTAGATCGCCTATGTATCATGCTGATCCGGTTGCTGACATAATTGTAGAATCGGCGAGTTCGGTTATGCAGGTATCCTAATACAACCTTGCTATCTGTATAGTATTTTGCGGTATCTTGATTCAAGTCGAGCTGTCGGAATACTGTCTGAGCTAGTTCTGTGGCTAGAAGTGCGGCACAAAGCTCGAGGCGTGGTATAGTACTTCCTTGCTTAGGCGCTATCCTTGACTTTCCAACGACAAATCCGGTACTGACTTTGCCTACATCATCAACTGTCTGTAAGTACACAACGGCAGAAATTGCCTTCTCTGAGGCATCCGAGTAAACATGAACTTTGCTTGAGGTGGCACAACTTAAGGATACTGAGGTATACATCCTTGGAACGCACAGATCTTCCAAGGCATGCAGAGAATGCTGCCATCTAGACCATTCTTCTTCACGATCCTTAGGTAGGGGTTCGTCCCAGTTATCATTGTCCTCACATATCTCCCTGTAAAGTATCCTACCATGTATGATTATAGGTGCGATAAACCCAAGAGGATCAAATAAACTGTTGATTATGGACAGAAGACCTCTTTTCGTGAACGGTTTTTCTGGGATACGTGCACTAAAGGTCAAACAGTCTGAATTGATGTCCCATGCTAAGCCAAGGCTCTGTTGGATGGGTAGCTCATCAGCAGCAATATCAAGCGACTTAAGATTCTTTTCTAAATCTTCAACAGGAAAGGCCTCCATGACGTCAATGCTGTTCGATGCAATCTTGTGGAGTCTGATCTTGGCTTCGTCCTTCAGTACTTGCTGCGTTTTCTGAAGCAGATCTATGGCCTCATCACTTGATACCACAGACATGAGCCCGTCATCAACATAAAAATTTCTGGTGACATAATTCTGTACATCAACTTCCGCCTTTTCAACTGTCTTGCGTAAGCCATATGTCGCAACTGCTGGCGAGGGCGTGTTCCCAAACACGTGCACCCGCATACGGTATTCGATTAACTCTTCACATGGATCATTGTTTCTGTGCCAGAAGAAACGGAGAAAATCTCTATGGTCCTCTCTGACCAAGAATGAATAAAACATCTGTTCTATATCTGCCATAAAGGCCACTTTGTTCATACGGAAACGCATAAGTACTCCAAGTAGTTCATTGGTTAGGTTGGGTCCTGACAGCAGTACTCCATTAAGAGAAAGGCCCTTGTATTTGACAGACGAGTCAAATACACCACGTATTTTGTCAGGCTTCCGCGGGTGATAAACTCCAAAGAGAGGTAAGTAAAAGCATTCTTTCTCTGCTGGTAAGGGCGGAGCTACCTCCATTGCACTACTGTCTATGAGTCCTTTCATGAAAGTCACAAGATGTTCTTTTTTGATCGAGTTCCTCTTCAGACTCGCATCCAACATGTGGGCCCTCTTCAAAGCTTGAAGTCTGTTGTTTTCCAGAACTGGCCTCGGTTTCCGAAAAGGTAATGGAGCTTTCCACTTTCCGCTAGAATCTTTCTCAAAACCTTCCTCCATGATCTGCAGGAACTGACGATCATCTACAGAGAGGCCAACTTGGTCGTCGTCTGCTGATGTTTGGAAAATATCTTTCCCAACTGCATCTTGATGTGGTACAATGTCCCCTGTCAGGCGGAAACTGTTTCGACATGGTTCGAAAATGGTTTGGCGGCCATCTTCAATCACCGTAGTTTTGTAGACAGTGACACCTTGTGGCTTGTGTAATCTGCCAAGGCACACATCTCCTATCACTACCCAGCCAAAACTCAATTTCTGTGCGAATGGTGAGTCCTTAGGTCCTACTCGCTGATCATGTATATGGTGCGCTTCTATCAAGTCTCTACCAATCAGTAAAAGTATTTTGGCATCTGTGTCAAGTGGCGGCAATGACAGATCTCTAAGATGCGAGTGGTGTTTGAGGACTTCTGGAGTCGGTATCTCATGTCGCTCGTCTGGAATTTCATTGCACTCTGTAATAGTAGGGAGTTCCATTACCGTAGATCCATCGACTGCAGCTATCATCAAACCAGAGGCTCTGCGACCGCTTGAGCGAATGCGTCCAGCACACGAAGTAAGCGTGAATGAATGAATCTGACTATTGGGAACATCCATAAAGTCAAATAGCTCGGATCTTCCAAGTGTTGTGTTACTCTGGTCATCAACAAGAGCATAAAGGCGCAAACGTTTTGAAGGTATCCCCTTTGGATACACGTCCACCAGAACAGCCTTTGCACATGATCGTCCGGAAAACTGTTCCCCACAAACAGTAGTACACTTGGTAAGAACATTGCCCTCCTCCCCGCCATTCTGTCTCTGGCCTTGAGAGCTGTCAGGTGGATGCAGAGCGGTAGGGTGCTGTATGCTTCCACAGTCCTCGCACTTCACCTCTACATGGCAGGCCTTGAACGTGTGCGTATCTGATTCACAGCACTTGTAGCACAAGTTGTGCTCTCGAAGGTATTGTTTACGATCACGAATAGATTTCTTCCTAAATGCTCTACACTGATTTAATGTATGCTCAGCATTGTGAATAGGACATCTCTTCTTTGTAACAGTATGGTCTCTTGTTGACTCTTTAAAGTCAGTCTTCTTGACAGTCACTGATTTCACTGGTTTGAAGTTGGATCTTGGTGCTTTCTGATCTCCTGCAAAGGTCGGAGCAGCTTGTAAGCCAGGATCATTCATCATGGTTGAAACTTCCTTTACAAAGTCACAGAATACCCTGAATGGAGGGTACGGGACGCCATGAGTCAGCTTGTATTTTGAAGCTTTAGAAGTCCATTTGTTTTGCAAACTGGGTGTCAACTTTTGTACTATGGGAAGGACTCCCACTGATGTGTCAAAGTAGCTGAAAAGTTGGCTGTACCTCGGATTCTCTTTCAAAGCCATTGTTTCACTTAAGATATCAGAGAGTTTGTACAGACGTCTTGGTTCGCTTGCACTGATTCGCTGGAAATTAGCTAGTTTAGACTTTATCGCTGTTTCGACTAGTTCAGGTGAGCCGTATCTTTCCTCTAGCCTGGTCCATAAAGTTTCACAGCCTTGAGAAGGGTTACACATTGTGGCTGCCCTGATGCTTTTGGCATGTTCCTTTGACTCGGGCCCAAGCCATCGGATCAACAAGTCCAACTCTTCGAGCGGTGTGACTGATGCATCCTGAACCACGGATCTAAAACTTGCCTTCCATGCAACAAAATTCTCTGGCTTGTCGTCAAAATTTACCAGTCGTGTTAGCATTAAGTCCTTTTTAAGCATGAAGCTAGCGAGACTGGCTACGCTGTTCTGTGTTTCAAATGGTCTGATTGGAGAATGGGAAGTGGCGACTTCTACTGTTTCTGTTGCGGGAGACTTTTGTGCTGGGACAGACTCAACATTTTGTTCCAAAACTTCCTTCTCCCATGTTTCACTTTCTTTTAGTTTGTTCACTTCTTCCACGAATTTCCTTGTGCGTTCTGAAGAGTCAATAACAGAATTAGATTTCCTTGATAAATTATCAATGTCCATTTCCTCCATTGCACGCAATTCTGCTTGGGCTGTTGCCAATTCTTTTTGTGCATCCAGACACTCTAATTCTGTCTCTATTTCTGCTTTTTTCCTTAGTGCCTCTGCTTTGGACTTTTTCTCCTGTTCATCAAGTCTGGCTTGTTCTTTCTTCAATTCAGAAGCCTTTTGTACAAACTGCAGTCTTGCTTTGGCTGCCTCTGCCTTTACTCTCTGCTCAAATAGCATGGAAGTTGTACTTCTGGAAGTTGTACTTCTAGATGTGGAAGATCTGCTTGATCTTGAATTTCTGCTTGTAGATCTCGGAGCACTTTTTAACGACACATTGTCTGTTAAGTCATGTGAAAGTTTGGGTTTTAAGTCTGGTGAAAACTTTGTATCTTCATCCTGTTGTTCCATAATTGTGTCAATTTCCTGGATGATACTTTCTACTTTCTGTTCCAAGGAGGACATGACTACCTCTTGTGCAGCTTTTTCTCTTCTGCTTTCCTCAGTATTTTTTCTCACAAGAAAATCCAGGAATTCTTCACTAATCTTATGGTAGTCACGTGACAGTTTGAGTAAACTTTCTTTTAGAATTAAGAGGATTTCTGTCCTGCCAATGTTGTTTGTTAGTTCGTCGTGCGAATGTCTCATTTCATTTTCTAGTTTTTTCCTCAGTCTTCGCAATTTGTCGCAAAACTTATTAACATCTTGTTCATAGACCTCACGTCCTGCTGCTGTTAACTGTCTGTTTAAGCGACTTTCATGATGATCTTGATGATTCGATTCATCTTCATTCGAATGGCCTTGATTCTTCATGACTGCCTGAGTCCTAGCTGTTTTACTATACTGGAACAGTTAATATTGAGAATGCTTCATCTCCGTTTTCATCTGCTTTAATCAGTATTGGTGCAGTAAAACACTGTAAATTACACAAAAAGTTATTAGAAATTACATACAAAATGACTGACATAAAATGTAGACTATATAATGTAACATTTATGACCGTACCGAGTTTCCATACTTTTTTACTTTTAACAGCAAACTACTACTAAACAATAAACACAAGAAAGTAGTAATAACTCGGCAAGAAATCAACAAATTATCCTTATAAATTTACATACTCAAGTATAACATACAGTGACTAGATAGTATAAATCTCAGAAAATGATTTGGACATAAACCACGTGCTTAGCCTTACATAAAAAAACAGGTCATGTTAACACTGCAAAAATAATACTTAAAATAGCTGAAACATTAGACATTACAAGGTTTGCATTTTAACACATGAATTATAAGATCTTAAAATTATATCTAATGAAAGCGTACTTACGCTATAGGGCTACAAAGTCAAAAAATGTAGAAACAAATTTCGCACATGTATAAATATGGCGCTGAAATAAACAAAACAAAAAGCCAAACATTACATGGCAGCTGAAAATATGATAACTACAAGAAATTGGGGATCTAACAATTAATAACTCTGGGTATGCCAAAGTATCGAAATAAACAAAACAAAAAGTTAAGCAAAAACCTACACGTGACATTTTGGCGCGAAATAATAGCGTCACCCCTTACCTAGAAGATAAATGGACTAATCCAGTAGTATAGAAACGCAGAAAAAAAGGTCAAACGGACATATATCCGTATAAGAACTCGCATGAAATTAATATATGCTAGCAAAAGGCTAGAGAAAATAAATACTTCAATGTATTGTATTAGCAATAAGTTTATTTTTCTGCTAACAGAATAGATAACTGTTGTTGCTGAAATGCATGTAACAAATCCGATTATAATCAGCATGCACAAAATTTTGCTGGCTAACTGTGACCTCTTCGAACCCTATTGATCCTTAGCGTGACGTCAGGCAATAAAAGGCTTTCAGTTTGAAGAAATATTTCAAAAACTTTTCCGCAATAAATATACAGTTATTACTAGCTTACTCTAAAGTCTTATATGTACTAGCGTACTCTGTTTAGTAGGACCGGTTTTTTCAGTGGGTGGCTCAGTACAACTCTCCTGTCTTTTTTTTTTTTTTTTTCTGCAGCTATACTGTGTATGAAGTTTGATTATTTTTAAAAATATCTTGGTTAGTTTGTTTGAAACTGAGCTTTGAACTTAGCTAAAGGCAAAGTGTGACGGAAGGAGATAAGGCAGGATGGAAGACGTCCGACATGACAAACATTATATCCCAAGCCATATTCATGGCGGGGCATAGAATGATTATTGGTTTACATAAAAAAATAGGTTGTGACTTTCTTTCGGAATTCAACACCAGCCTTAATCTACATGTATATACGCATGTACAAAAACAAATCAACCAACTAACATTCTCGGCTCAGAAGGAAGACATTGTATATTCATTTTAAACATGTTAAAGGGGGGGGGGGGTACTTATAGTGATGAGAGGAAATTTAACCACGTGTCGGTCCATGAAACATGAAAGATTATTTTTGGAATGTTTGTATACAACAGCGTGGCTTTCTTTGAACTAAATTAGAATTTATTGAAATATTTAAAAATAATTCTTTCAGGGACGCCGTGATATATTTGGTAGTCTCTGTAATAACTGTTCGGATATAGCACAGGCCTTTAGATCGCTTAGAAAAAAAAATTGAGGTGTTGGAAAAAAAATACACACAATTTTTTTTCTAAGCAATCTAAATGCCTGTGGGATATAGTGTCTTTTGAAGGTACAACACCTTTCTTTTAATATTACCAAAGGATTTGCTGATCCTTTTTTTCCGTATAGTCGAAATGCATAGGAAAGGAAAAAAAACGTATGTGGATTAATCCAATACAAATTGATGCGTTGTGTTTTTAATCTAAATAGACACGTTTTTTCTTCACGTTTTCCTTTTTTGTAAAATGCCGTTTGCTTTGTTTAAAAACTTTTTCCTACGCGTTACCAATGTGAGAAGAGTAAACAAGACGTCCTCAAACAATTTATTTCTAATGATGAAAACACCGAATGACGATGAGGATAATTAAGGTGAAATTATTTACTGAGACCCTATAGTATCTACATTTCATGTCACCAACATTAACAATGACTGACCGGGAGGACGTTTGGTAAAGAATTAAAATTGATGTTTTATCGTCAAGATACTGGTTAATGATAAATAGCATTAACGAATTTTCAATTTTTTAAAAATCGTATTCTTAAACTCTGGATGTATATATTTTGACCGTTATTCTAGGCAAAAGTGCATTCATGTATATTTATACTGACATCGACTGAACATGTACAAGCATGTCAAATCGTGCAATGTTGATTCAACGAAAAAGTATATTATTTTTGTACAATAACATTTTAAAGTTTAGTAGCGAATAACTGCATACTCAAAAGTGCTTAATTTAACGTTGGATGTTTTCACTACCATGCATGCGTACATGTAATACATGTAAGTTTAATATTCATAAAACAATATCCACCTCCATAAAAACAGGGGGGGATTGCAAACCAAGCTAGTGTTTATTCGGCTATCAAAATACATAAAACTTACAATGAATAAATCGAGCGATTACGATTGATTTAAACAAGCTGAAATAGAGTGAAATGAAATGATATGAAAGAAACGACATATTTTAAACCCAATTTTCCATTTGTAACTATCGGAGTACACAATGGATTTTCATATATGCCCACTGTTCTCTGCAACCACGTGCTTGTAAACGAGGACCGGGCAACACAACTTTAGACACAAAGTGACAAAGCTGGATATAACCTGTTTGCTATACCGGTATTACAAATACGTGAACAATAGTATATTATAAATTACTTTTTATGTTCAATGTTTATTTAATCTTTAAAAAATGATACCCCGGTAAATGGAGAAACTAAAGAGTGATCATGGTAAAAATAAAACGTACATATACAATATTACCTATCACTATCCATCCCTCATTATAATTATTTGCCGAAGCCCCTTCTCAATTACAATTGAAATAAAATACATTAACACAGAATAGAGTTTTTTTTTTATTTTGCGAGAACAGGCCAAAGAAAGCGAACACAGTTCAAAATGATTTTATGCACCAGTGTTTGGAATTACGATTAAATATGAAAGATGGGTAAAATAATCTTATTGAATCGCGATGTAATTAAAAACACAGTTTTCTATTAATTGTTAAGTCTTTCTACACAATGGTCTAATACAATCACAAACACTTGCTTTGTTTATTTTGCGAGAACAGGCCAAAGAAAGCGAACACAGTTCAAAATGATTTTATGCACCAGTGTTTGGAATTACGATTAAATATGAAAGATGGGTAAAATAATCTTATTGAATCGCGATGTAATTAAAAACACAGTTTTCTATTAATTGTTAGGTCTTTCTACACAATGGTCTAATACAATCACAAACACTTGCTTTGTTTATGTCCACAGGTGCCTGGTACACTCGTGACCTAGATCGACAGCGTGGGATTTGCGGCTTTGATTACATAACTGTAAAACATCTCGCTGAACAATGGGATCGTAATATGTTTCAACTAATGATCGTGAATTATTCAATGTATAAAGTTTAAGATTAATTATATAGTTTGTTACAATGATAAACGTAGAAAAGTAGATTTTATATCTTCCGCTTTTAAAGACGTGTTCACTATAAAACTAATTAAATTTTATAAAGAAAAATAGAAAAAGTAGTTGTAATACATGATTTAATAGTTAATCATAAAACACGTTTAAACCTTATTTTGAAGAAAATCAACATAAAATACCGTAGGGTATATTATTTACAGCAAGTTATACACATGATGAGGTCAGATTTACTTGCCGAATGAAAACGCTACATGTTTACCTGACCTGCTTTCGACTGCATATTATGCAATAACCCCGGTATATTCGAACAAATAAACATTCCTATCAGATCAAAAGGGTGTTAAAGAACAAGTTTGCTCGTAATATTTAGATCGAAATATTTACCGTTTTTGAGTTATAAAGCAAAAACTTTCAAGCTCCAGAGATCCCTTATGTTAGGGGCCAGCCCCTTTTCTATAGTATTAAATGAAAGCCCTTGCAATTATGCACAACTTTTGTTCAACATGTCTTAACAAAATATTTTTAGTTTTCAAGATAAAAAGGAAAACATGTGCAAATTTTCGCTCTTTTAGGCGTTCTATTTTTTGACCCCTGTATTGCGCCATTTTGAATAGAGAAATCAAAAAACAAAAACCGATGTGCACAACTTCAATCCTTCTGTTATCTAAAACCAGTAAAAATTCTGCTCCAGCTCTAGTGGTCTCTGAGCCTTTGTCTGGAAATGAAAGCCTATAATTTTTCGTTTAAAGGGAAATAACTCAAAACCGGAAGTGACTTTTTGAAATTATTGACAGCATTCTGATAGAGTTTATTACCGTCTATAATGTCTGAAAATTTGAACAAAATCCATTAAAAAATGAGCGAGATACGAGGCCTCAAAGTTGGCGTCTAGGAAGAAAAAAAAAAGAATAATAAGAATAATCTTAATCTTCACAATCAGTAGAAGGTCTTCCGTTGGAAACGGAAGACCTTAATTACTAAAACACCTATATCACACAAACTAAAAAAAAAAAATGGTATAACTGTAAAGTTGAAATTACCGGGGAAACCATCTGATATTTTGATCTTTTTTAATCCTCCCTTATTAGTAGGTTTTGAATTTTTAGTCAATGTTAAACGTAAAATAAACTTCAATCAGTCTTGAGACATCATGTTAGGCGTACAATTAATGTACCTGTTGGTACCACATTTTGGAAATACGACTTATCTTATAGCTAGGAGGACTTGGTGTCACGATTGAAAGACTACGTGTATGCCGTTTTATTTATTTATT